ACGTCATGGAAGCCATTAACTCCCAAGCTGACTCAGATGTCTCCCCAATGGAAGGCAGATTGAAATCCCCCAGGATCATAAGCCTAAGGTAGTCAGAAGCCATTCTTTGTTTTTTTTTACCTTTTCACATTTTTTCTTTGTACTTTTACCATATTTTTTATCTGATGTTTTTTTCTTTCTTTGGTTATTTACTTTTTCTTCACGTTTAAATTTGATAAAATTATGTTTTTAAAAAATTCTGCGCAGTATTTTTGGCTGACAAAATATTCTAATTTAGTATCAGCACCTTTTAACTTAAGCTACAGTGATGAACACATTATGATATTGAAAAGTTATCCTTAATGTGTAGTTCCACTCTAGAAAAAGTACAATACTATAGCTTTCTCACTGTTATTGTTTTTTTAATTAGGATCTTTGTAAACAAGCAACAAATTAAGGAACAACAAAAGCAAATAATCTACGTATAGATAATACTATACATAACATTAAACTATAAAAGGCAGAGTAAGAAAGAGAGAAGACTCTGAAAACCAGTAGTTGATATTCAATAGAGATGAATAAAACTCCCCCAGAAATGAAGTGGAGGAATCCCATACCACTATCATAGCAGGTCCTTGTCTTCTGACAAAAGAAATTAAACTACCCTTAGACCTGCAGAAATTCATATACAAGATTTTTAACTTACCCACAATGGTCTGATTATCAACATGTATGTTTTCAAAAGTCACATGTCTTTCATTATAGCATGAACTATTATCTTTATTTGTAGCTTTTTCATTCTTTGGAATAGGGGGAACTAATATTGGAATAACTTTTAAATCGAAAGGGAGGGTGCTTATGTTAGCTCTTTCTTCTGATTTAGAATTGGTTGGATAAAGGGAAAAAAAGAGTTAACAACTTGATCAATTATTTGTGGTTGATTTTTTTCACTTATACAAATGCACCATTTCATAAAAATTATCATCAATATTAATAATGATTGAAAACTGGGCAATCAGAATGGGTACAACAGTAGAAAAATTCTCACTGAACAGAATAATTAAATCTGGGATATAACTAATTTGTCCTGTAACATTCCTAGGAAATAATTTATGCATTTAGCTGTACATTAGCATGCCATAGCTTTCTGTTATTTCAATGTTAATGCATTTCTTTACCCAACAAGTATAATGGAGTACTCTATTGTATTGCATTCTTAAGTAAAACTGAATACACTTGAATGTAAAAAACAGCCACACTATTTTTAGTGAATAAAAATCCAATTATTTAATATTCCAACTAATTTTGATAATTAAAAAAACTTTTCAGATTATTTCTAAAGCATGTACAATTGTCATGACTTAGTTTTTAAAAAAAAATAAAAATACAAAGTTAATGCATCGATTTGTAATAATTAGGACTGAAGGACACTTATAAGAAAAATAAGTACCCGTATTTTTCGGAGTAGAAGACGTACTGGAGTATAAGACGCACCATGATTTTGAAAAAGTAAATTTAAAGAAGTTTTTGCACTCTGCAGGCCTCCCAAACCCTCTGCACACCTCGTTTTTTGCACAAAAAAAAAGGGGGGGGGATGCAGAGCTTTGGGAGGCTTGTAGAGTGCTCCTGGGGACAGTCTGCTCCTCCCCAGCTCCTAAGAGCACTTTGCAAGCTTCCCAAACCCTCTGCACGTCCATTTTTACAAAGGGGGCAGGGTTTTATGCCAAAAATGCTGTATTCAGTGTATAAGATGCACCCAGATTTTCACCCTGTTTGAGGGGGGGGGAAGGTGCGTCTTATACTCTGAAAAATATGGTCAATTAGAAATGTTAGGTACTTCTCTCAATTTCCCCTTTTTTAACTCATGTTTTCCAGAATTTGACTTCCCCATTTCTTTTAGATGGCCTATTGTGGGAAAGTATGGCAAGAAAGATAAAATAGAAAAATTATTTTCTTTTACAATAATGCATTTATTTAACTGATTGTAAGATCCAAATTACTACATTTTGGGCTGGGTTTACATGGCTATACTATGACATTGTTTCTTTTAATAGATAGTTAAGCTAGTTGTGATCATTATTTTTACATGCAAAACCAAGGCATAACCGTAATTTCAAAACCATGAGTACTTGCTTGAAATTTTATGCTAAACAAAAAACAAAGGAAATGAATTACATGACTTAGTTAGTATGATCCTCAAATACTACACATATTATGCCACGTATGCCTATTTTCCAAAGTAAGTCCAAAAATAAATCTAGAACAAATTGCTACATTTACTTCCTTTATTACTTCTTCTGAAGCAGAGATAGTTTGCACCTTAATATTTTATTCCAATATTTATGCACAATTTTACATTTCATGCCAAATAAGTCAGGAAAGTATAATGGAAAACCTCTAACACTGCTCACTATTTCACTTTTAAAAAAACCTATTCATATTTCCATTTCTTTAGTTATCTTTTTATTATCCAATTTCAATCAAACTGGCAAATCAAGACTTTCATTAAAAATTGTTTTCCTTATTTGTCATAAAAGTGCCTTTTGAATTCAAGTCAGGTTAAAGAAAAAAATATTAAAACTCACTTGGGATTGATAGTAACTCGGTCTCTGAAGATACTCCAACATTTTTGGATGGGTCTTCTTTTGAATTTTGTAATGAAGTTTGCTCTTTTGATGGAAAATATTCCACTGTATTCGATGACGTCTGAACATATTCCATTTCTGCTTTCTGCTCAGAAGAAATGCTACAGTGCAATCCTCCAACACATTTTCCCTCATATATTTTTTCCAGTTGCTGATTCTCTTTTCCATGGTTGGTATTGAAATTGTCTTTAGATGAATCTCCCAAAAAAGAAGTTTTGGATTCATGCAGTGACAAAACTTTGTGCTTAGCTATGGTGGTGTCTTCATGTTTAATCAAGTTTTCTTGTTCATTGTTGCTTTCAACTTCTTCAGCTCTTCTGAGATATTTTTCTATATCAAATGTACTATTTTCTATATTGCTTGATAATAACTGATTGACAACTGAGAAGTCTGAGAGCTTGTCACCTTTTGGAACATTTATTCCTTCTTTATTTTTATTTGAAAGTGCCATCATCAAAGCAGCTAGCTGTGATGGTTCAGCGCTAACAGAAGCATTTGCAATTGCAGATGCAATTGTGCTCACACTCAGGACAGAGGGCTCAAGTTGAAGGTGCTTTCTTTCAGGTTCTCTGTGTCTAGGTTGATTCTGAATGGAGAAATACGTGACTTATTGAAGGTTTAACATTACATTAAAACATTTAATTCAACTGAACTAGTGGTGGGTTCCGAATCCCATTGCAACCGGTACGCTGCAACGGGGCCGGGGGCCCACCACGTTCACGCGTGCATGAACCCCCACCCGCAATGCTCCAACTGTTCGGTGGAGCATCGCACAAGTTCCGTACGCTCCGTGTGCATGCGCAAATGCCCCTATAGGCTCAAATAGCAGAAAGGAGAGCGGGCGGGTGGGTTGGCCATTCCAGAGCACCGTATGGGAACAGTACGTGGTGCTCCCAGCAGGCACCGGTATGCCTGTACCGGGGCATACCGGTCATATCCCACCACTGAACTGAATGGAAAACTCATCACAATCTTTCTCAACCACTTGTCTAGAAAAAGCGATCCAATTATAACTGGACATTATGCACCACAAATGCTGCTTGTGCCACATTAAATCCCTTCAGAAAAGTTATGTTTTATATTCTAATCTCAACATGAATAACTGTACTTTAAAACAAATGGCAGACTTATTTTAGTAGTTTTATAAAACCAAACTTTTTTATCAATACTTTTGCTTTGATTTTGGAATCTATTTGCATACTTACAGTTCTATTTTCTCTGGACTGCATATCTGATTCACCAACAGCAGAAGTAGCAAATGCAACTTCCTTTTTAATGCTTTCTTTTACATCTCCTAAAGAAATTAACAAAACAGATAAGACAGTCAAAAACCCATATAATTTATCATATTTTTCACACTATATGACACACTTTTCCTCCTCCCAAAAATGAGTGGAAATGTCTGTATATCTTATAGAGTGAATATTGTAGAAGGGGGGTTGGATTGGCCTTCACTGCCAATCAGCTGATTGGCAGTTGGATCGGCCTCCTGGAATACCACCGATCAGCTGTTCTATGAATGGCACTCGGCGACAAATGGCAGCAATCAGCAGCAATTCCCACCACCTAGAACAGCTGATCGGCAGTATTCAGGGAGGCCGATTCAACCACCAGTCAGCTGCTCGGCAGTGAAGGTTCTAGTGTTCTCCGGCAGCAGCAGCACAAGTATGCTAGCCAGATGAATACCAGATGGATGCTGGGAGGCAGAGGCAGATATTTTTTCTTGTTTTCCTCCTATAAAGCTAATGTGCATTTTATATCCGGAGGATCTTATAGTGTGAAAAATATGGTAAACAGGTTAGAACATCATTTAAATTAATAACAGTGAGAAAAGAGGCCCAGCATTTTAAGGAATAAATGCTGGTCTTTAGCTTTTCGTACAGATTTGAAAGCAAATTTTGCAAATAGCAATTGTTGTGGACTCTCCAAAAATAATTTCATAAACTATGATTTATGATCACAAAGAATGCTTTATGAACACCTATACTACAAGTAGTCCTCCACGTATGATCACTATTGGGCCCAAAAATGTTGAATGACACACTACATGACCACTTTGCTTAATGATTGTAATCCTGGCTCTCCCGGTTGCAGTTGTCCCTCGGTCCATTGTAGAAATGGATCTCAAATCTGGTGGAATCAATTTTCTTACTGCAGACTTTCACAGATGCTAGATTTTAATCATCAAGCTTCACCCAAACAAAAAAACCCTCACCCAATAGAAATAAAGCAAATATCTCCATATTTGGTAGTAACTAGTCAGTAGACATATTGTAAAGTTCATGAAGTACCATTTTCTATAGGGTTCTATATATGGCTCAGTGGCTAAGATGCTGAGCTTGTTGATTGAAAGGTCAGCAGTTCAAATTCCTAGTGCCGCGTAATGGGGTAAGCTCCCGTTACTTGACCCAAGTTTCTGCCAACCTAGCAGTTTGAAAGCACATTAAAAAATGCAAGTAGAAAAGTAGGGACCACCTTTGGTGGAAAGGTAACAGTATTACGTGCACTTTGGCATTTAGTCATGCCGGCTACATGACCATGGAGACGTCTTCTCTTTGGCTTTGAAACAGAGATGAGCACCGCCCCCTAGAGTTGGGAACGACTAGACCATTTTCTACTGCATATCATAGAAGGGGCTGTATCTCTTTCCAATTACTATTGACCTATATATCTTTTAATGTTAATTTCTGTAAAAAAAATATAGCTCTTTCCCAATTTTGGAATGGCAATAAGAAAAAGAACTCCAAGGTCTTCAGAAAGGGATATATGTGAGAAAATCTGCACCAACGCCTGCAATTGTCCTGAAGGGGGTGGAATCCTTGCTTATGCTGTACAAAAAAAGTCTATGTGTACATCCTATGTACTGTATTTCTTATAATAGACAAAGGAGAGCCTGATTCTTGGTATGTGACCCATGAGGAGAGGATTAACAGATTAACCTATTAGGCTTACGCATGTATTGCTCAAAATTTGAGGTGACAACAATAGTCACCATCACCTTTGTGAAATGAGAGAAATAACAGAATAATCTCATGAAAACATACTGAATATGATATAAATTGTGAGATAGGCACCAATTTTATAGCACAATTAAAATTCCCCTAATACTAGGGGAACATGCAAAAAAGTTATTTCCATCATTAGCCTCTATTCATATTGGAAGCTCTACATCTGATTAGGCAAGGAATATAATATGGTGCTGTGCCATAGTCTGGTTCTACAAACTGCAAGTAACAGTTTGAAAAAAGTCTGACTTCTCTAATTAGGACTAAAAATGAAAAATCCAAGAAACTAGTCTCTCTGAGGTCAGATTAATACGATTCTTTGGGAAAGGGTTTAGTAACAATTCAAGGTTATCTAACAAATATACTATCTTTTAAATAAAAGTCTACTATAGACATCCCAAAGGTGCTTTTTTACAAGAGGCAACTGGACTTTGTGTTTTTCTTTGAAAATGTTTCACTTCTCATCCAAGAAGCTTCTTCAGCTCTGAATGGAAGGTGAAGAATAGAAGGATTTATACTCCTTCCAGAGTAGTATATCTAGGAATAATAGATGCAACCATAGAGAACAGTGCTTCTGAAAAAAATATGGTACTAGTGTCCTTTCACTGTTCTTTTTCTAAAGGATCAGAAGGGAGAGATGACTGGCTGGCACTGCTAGCCTCCATTCATTCCAGTGTCTGAACCATCCAGCTTCCCAAAGGACCACTGACGAGCTTACTGCACACCAGAAACAGCATACAGCTCATTCCCAGTAAATCAGCAGCTACAGCACTAATTATGTTTCCCTGAAGGGAATGAAGCTAAGTACTAACAGGAAATAACCCTATGTCACTGGGACCTAGTATCAATGGTTGGCTATCAGAGAAATCTGTGTCCATGGACAGTAAGTTATTATCCATGTACTTGCTGGCCATAAGACCCTATAAAACACTAAAATAAAATAATAAAAAAATAAAGCAAAATTGAGAATGGGTTAGCTATTCTAATTGTTATGGTTATGAGGGCAATTGCCCCAACTATTGAAGATTTCTGTTTCCTAAAGAAAGACAAGACTAGAACTGGCTAGAACTGAAGAAAGATGCTATTCCCTTCACATCACAATGAGTAACATTAGAAAAAATCTAAGCTTTCTCTCCAGGGTTGGTGAAAGGAGATAGCCAATACTGCAAAATAAACAAATATTCAGAAGTGAAATACAATCAATACATTCAAACATACAATAAATATTATTATATTTAAAGTAGAAATTACCTTGACAATTACTAGAAATATTCAAATCCTGTTCACCAGAGTTTGTTGAATATATATCAGATTGCCTCAACAAAGCTATGGGCTGTCTCTTCTTTGGAGAAGTGATATGATAACCAAAAGATGGCTATAAAAAGATACAGTGAAAGCAATACATTTAGGGAAATGTATGGACTAAATCTAGCAATATCAAATGTCAAATTGTTTATATAAGCTAAGAATTCTGTCTTGCCCATAACCCTTCAAATGAATCTTCTTTATTTTTAATAATCTGCCAACAAACTATAATAATTTTAACTAAAAACAATGCAAAAACACATATGTGTCTCCTGTATATAAAAGCAGCTATATATGTACCCGTTTCACATCACCACTTCCACCAAGACAACCAAGAGCCTCAGATTTCTGACCAAAGAATTCTCCCAGAGAAAGTCGTAAATAACTTGCATCTCTATTAAAGTCATTTTGAGAGTCTCTTAATATATTATGGTTATTAACTGATTTCCAAGATGCATCTTCTAATCCAGATGTATTTTGCAGGTCCATTTTCTCTTCCTGAAATTATACAAAACACAAAAATACCAAAAATTATCTTTAGGTTTTTAATACAAATATTATAGAATGTATCTATTTAATGTTGATGTTACTTACCTGTATAAATCTGTGTTCCCTTTCAAATACTTCCTGATCTTGGGCAATCATAGCTATTGCTTCAGCTTTTGGGAAAGGTTGGGGGAGGAATAAGAGAGAGAGAAAAAGAGAATACTTAACATAAAATTAAAGCCAAATTATAACAGAAGCCCAAGAGTTTACTTGACACTCTTATAACTTCTTATAATTTCTTATAACTTCCTATATAAGCTTTATAAAAAGAACAGGTATTATTTTCTTTCATTTCTACTAGAATATACTAGCTATTGTACACTAGAATATCTATACTATATACCCTTGATGGTGAACCTATGGTACGCGTGCCACAAGTGGCACACAGAGCCATTTGTCAGGGCACATGAGGTGTTGCCCTGTCAGCTGGCTAGCGCACATGTGCGCATAGGCCAGCTGACTTCGGCCTTCTTTTGAGGCCGTTTTTCGCCATCATACTTACGGTTTGCTCATAGGGCCACTTTTAGCCCTCCGGAACTTTCAGGAGGCTTCAGGGAAGCTCCAGAAGCCCTCGGAGGGCCTCCTGGGGGGAGGCTGTTTTCGCCCTCCTCAGGCTCCTATAAAGTCTTTGGAGCCTGGGGAGGGCGAAAAAAGCAAGCCAAAAATGGGGGGGAGCGCTGGTCATGTACGCATGCACGCTGAGGTTGTGCGCATAGCATTATGGGTGTGGCACAACCATACAGGACCCCCCTGCGCTCCCCCCGCTTTTGGCACGTGAGCCACAAAAGGTTCGCCATTACTGCTATATACCATATTTTTCGGAGCATAAATTTCCATCCTAAGAGAGGGTGGAAATTTGGGTGCGTCATACTCCAAATGTAGCTTTTCGGAAGTGTTTTTTTCAGGCCTAATGAGGCGCTTCACTCATTTATTCACTTAAAGATTTGAAGACTGCCTTAAGAGGTACTTCTTTTGTCCAGTTTCTATTTTGGGGAGATAATCCTTTCAAGGACAAGGCAGAGAGTTCCTGTGGCTACTGATTTCTATTCTTATGGGAATAATTCCTTTAAGGGGAAGGCATTTTTCCTATCTGGCTATCTGAGTTTTCCCAATGGTTTCCTTCAGGCAAGCACTGGGCTGGTTTGTTGATTCAGCTTTGTTACATTTTAAGTGCTTATGTGCTTTTTGCTAAATGCCCAGATTTAGTTAAGATCCCCCCCACTCCGGCTTCCTGGGGAGATGGAGGGAAATGGCAAAAAGTGTCATTTATTAAACTATTGTGTTTGCTTGCTTTTCTGGTGCTATGGGGATAAAAATGAATAGAATNGTGTGCATGCGGCCCAGTTCTGAACAGGTCATAGCCTGGAAGTGGGCCATAGCCCAGGAGTTGGGGACACTGATAAAGAGGAAGGTATTTTAAGTCACTGGGAGGAGAGGTGTGTGGGAATTTATTATATTAATTTATCTTGTATTAGTTTTATTGGTTTTTTTAATGTGGTTTTAAATTATGTAAACCACCTTGAGTCACCATGGGCAAATAGGAGGCAATATAAATTTAATAAATTAAAAAAAATAAGATAATGATGAGAAATAAATTATATTTTTTCCATCCCAGGCCATATACCTGTGATGGTGAATCTATGGCACACGTACCACAGGTAGCATGCAGAGCCCTCTCTGCGGGCACGCAAGTCGTCACGCAGCTCAACTCCCCCGCGCATGCATGCATGCCTCCCACTGGTCAGCTAATTTTCGGGTCTCTGCATGCTGGAGACATGCACACGTGTGGGGGTGGGGGTGATACACACATGCGTGGGGGGCACGGGGGTGTGCAGCGCTCCCCCCACACCCCATTTTTTCTTTCAGGAGGCTTCAGGGAGGCCTGCTAGGCCCAAAACAGGGTGTGCGGTCGCACACATGTGCGAGGGGAGCATGGAGGAGTCGCACATACATGGGGGTGGGGGAAGTCCGAGGGGGTCATGTGCACATGTGGAGGGGGTGGGGTGCATTGCATTATGGGCACGGGCACGGGTGTGCGATTTCGGCACGAGAGAAGAAAAAAGGTTAGCCATCACTGCCATATAGGATTGAAGAAAAATGAAATAAAAATTAAAGTATGTGAGAGAGATCAATAATAATATGAAAATGGGTGAGCAGAATGAATCACACAGTAGTGTTTCAACCAGTATTCTTTATTCCAACTTTTTTGTCAGTTTCTGTTTAAGTCAACAATTTTCTGAGGCAATGTTTGTTTGTTTGTTTTATTAGTTTTGTATACCGCCCACTTCCGAAGGACTCCAGGCGGCTCACAATAAAACAGGGGAAGGGGATAAATAGAACGATACAACAATTTAAAAAATACACAACATTCACAATTGAAGCGGGGCTGGATCCTTCAACAGNCTGCCCAGGACCACCCATAGATCCACCCCACTGCGACCCTGTGCAAGAGGCAGAATTCGAAGGTCTGTGCAGAGTGATTCTGTCCTCAAGTGGGCCTTTCAGCCCCTGCCATGGCAGCCTCCCTCCTCAGCCGTACTTTGAAAGCTGCGTGTATGACCAGTGTGCCACCGGGGGAGACGGAGGGCAGTTGTGCAGGAGCCTGGAGGCCTATGCCGCTGCATGCGAACTGAACGGGGCCGACCTCGGGGACTGGGAAAAGGACACCGCCTGTGGTGAGTAGAGCTGTTGGGCGACTTGGGGGCCTTCCAGCTTTCCTTGTCGGCTGTCGATTGAGAGTCCATGGAGCTCCGTTCCTGATCACCTTCTCCCACCTGCACAAGAGTATTTTCTCTTTGTGGAAATATTGCTGGTGGAGAGGCAGAGAGTCCCGGCCCATGGAGGCTGAACATTGCACAGAGCTACCCAAAGCAGCCACCTCATTTTGCCAGTTGGAATTCTCATCACCCTCCATCTGTAACACTCCCTGCATCATTGGCTGCCTCCTGTTCCCCCCCCCTCCTCCTTTGTTGTTGATTCGCAGCCCTTTCTGGATCTCCAGACCTTTCTGCCAACAACGCACCCCGCCCTCCTTTCTCTTGTGTTCCTAGGTCCCTTGGTCCCTTGCGGTTTCTCCTGCACTTTTGAGAAGGATTTCTGTTCCTGGAACCAATCGTCCACCGACAACATTGACTGGAAACGACACAAAGGCCCAACACCCTCGCCAAACACAGGACCCTTGTATGACCACACCACTGGAGGTGAGGCTGGGGCCCTGGTCTTCTTCTTTTCCTTCTTTGGTGGCATCTTACAGCTGTAAAGAGCCATTGATCGGAAGGAATTCAAGACCTCCTCAGTGTAACAATCCCAACTATTGAATCTCCAAGAGGGGAAAAATTATTTTATTCATTTGAACCCTTAAGTAGCACCCAACTAAGTCCATAGGACTGTATGTGGTGCAGAAGAAGAAAACAAGGGCCAAACAACCCCCCGCCCCAATGGGGACCCTAGTCAAGAAACGCAACTCTTTCTCTTTAAAACAAAGTCCAAAATAACAAAATGGCATTTTCTGTCACTCATCAATGGAGAGTTCTGATCGTGGTGTGATAAAGGCCTGAGAGATGAACGTTATGGAGCCTCTGCTTGGACACGTCCGCGAGTTTTCTTCCTGGCTTCCAATTTAGGGATTGAAATATGCAGAACTGAACATTTAGCTGTTGCTGCCTCCCTGCTCCCAGATTGTTTCCTTGCTGCTGCACTCCCATCTGGGCCACCTTCCAGGAAGGAGTCCTCCTTGTGGGATGGAGATGTAGGACCCACAGGCCAAGGAGGAGAGTCTTGCGGGAGAGAGTTTGCAGCACTTGCCAGGGTTGACGGAAGGATAGGGTGTGTCCTTGGAAGTTCAAGGCGTCAGACCAGGAGAGCTACTCTGGGTCCTTATCTCTCAGGAACCCCAGGCAGCTTGGATTGCACGGAACTGTCTCTTCGCATCTCTGAGGATCCACGTTGTTTTGACCTCTGTCTCTTTCTTTAGGGGGCTACTTCATTTACCTGGCAGGAAGCGATGCCCACCCTGGGGATGTGGCGCATTTGGTCAGCCCCACGTGTGACCTTCAGGGGCCCATGTGCTTCAGCTTCTGGTATCATATGTACGGCGTCGCCCAAAAGATGGCGCTGCACTTCTATGTCATCTTGGATGATGCGCCACCTTTCCTGGTCTGGTCGGAAACGGGAAGCAAGGGCAACCGTTGGAAGACAGGAGAGTTCGGCATAGCTCACCAAGGCAGGGTGAAGGTAAGGATGAGGGTGGCAGCTTTACAACCAAACATCTGGCTGATATCATGGCATTTATCCGTACTCGAGACATACTGGAGACCTTCTCCTCTTCCTAGATACTGCTGGAAGGAGTGCGGGGAGAGGACTTCCGCAGCGACGTGGCCGTGGATGACATCTCTGTACAGGGCGGTGACTGCCCGTGTAAGATTTCGCCCTTTATTCCTTTCCCAGAGGTGGGGCCTGGCACATCATAGAAACATTTCTGGGCATCTTCCACAGTTCGGGCTTTTCCCCCAGTGTGAATAAGGAGGGACCCAAATCCCTAGGAACCCACCCCAAGGGTTTAAATCTGACCACGGTTAGCACAAGGATGGCTTCAGAGTGTGGGTCACGTGATAGAGATGCTTCCTTCTTCTCTTTGCCTCCTCCTCCTCCGCGAAGGAGTATCTGGTCACAAGCTCAAGTGGGGTTCAAGATGGGTCAGGGAGACTTGGTGATGTTTGAATGATCCTTCACATTTCTCAATCTTAGAGGAACATACAAATGTCATTTCCTTTTACAGCACGGACAACATCCACTCCTGGACCCACAACCACACGGACACCCCCCACTCCTTCCCAGGGTAAGTGCCTTTCAGACTGAATCAGATCATTTGCTCCCTTCTCCTCTTCTGACGGATCTTGGGATTGGGGTGCAGTCCTGATGTCTCGGAAGAGAAGAAGATTTTGCTCAGCTGAGTATTTTCCCCAGAATTGTTGGAGCTTCTCTCACTATGACCGCCTTCTTGGATGTTCGTTAAATGGTGCTATGCACCCGTTAACAATGTCCCTGAAGACTCTATTTCATCCGACAATGCTACTAGGGTGAGAAGGGACTGTGGCCAAGTACAAAGTGAAGTTCAAGTTCCTTCAACCATTTTAAGACCTTTCCTGCCTTGTACTCAAAATATAAATGTCGCTTCCCTCTTCAGGTGATATATCAACCACCCCTATATCTCCGAACACTTTTCAGGGGCAGCCCCAAGTAGAG